CTTAATATATGTACAATTTAAGTAAGTAATAAGACAATAAGGAAAACATTAAATACATTGTAATTGAAATAAATTGACAATGAACTCTTCGATACTTCGGGAAGAAAAAGCATAGAAGCTACAATAAACTACAAAGTTTACAACACTGCCGAAAAACAAAACTTTGTATTGTTTCATTTTTTTTATGATATCAAGTGACGGGACGAACAAGTCGTGATGGTAAGCTACACGCCTGTCCATAACAGTGCCACTCAGAGCTTTAAACCACAAAGATCTGAGGGGCACTGCCACTGCACCCGTCACCTTGAGACATACCTTGACAAGTCCCATGTGCCTGTAATATCCACCAACACCCGTACTCTTCTAAACTGGAACGTAGTAATGCTACCGCTAATTTAAAAATTCATAACAATAAAATATGTTTATTTACATTAACTTAGCCTAGTATACAATTAAGTAAGTACAAGTCATCGGCGCATCAGGCTATATACACTTTTGTTCGAATATCGCCTTCAGTGAAACGGAACAAGATCCGTTAATATGTAACTTATTGTGCTACCGTCAGTAGTCAGTAGGTACATCAATAGTACATTCTTTATGAAATTAGATTTTACACTCTTTCTTCCCCAAAATATGATCTCTATTTCACAAAAAGCATGTTAACAATCAAGATACGAATGGCGGCCTTACATTTTCCAACTTAATGTTTGTGGACTTAAAGAAAAAAAAATGTCTGGGTATTGTGATTTAACGAATGAACGTGTAATAATTTACAACTGAGAGATAAAAGTATAGATTTGTGTATTTTACCTATTATAAAACTAGATTCGTAAAATAATTACGTGCTATTCTGCGGGTTACCAAACATCACAGCGAAACAATTGAATGTGCAAATAAATAAATCACATGTAGCAGACTGCCATTTTAAATATGCGAAATGCATAAAAAACTGGCAATAGCATAACAAAGGGTTTCGAGTAATTGCCCTTTAAGCTATTACATTTTGACTTCGTGTCGAAGATAACGGGAACAAATACTAAACCCGTGAGTCACACTTTACCTATCTTTCAACAAGAAATTGCAAATAGTTTTTCTACACTAACTAGGAAAATGTAACTTGTTTGCTCTACCTACTTTACTTTCCATAGAAAGAAGTGCAAAACCTCTTATACATATTTGCATAAATTCTTGTTTTACAATAATTTACAATGTTTTCACGGTGCTTAACAATAAAATCTTCGAAATCATGCAGTGTAACGGTCAGATACAAAATATTATCTAACTCTACATTTCCAGCTTAAATGCTTTCCTCAAAAACAAACGGTAACATATAAAGATATACCAGAGAATCAATTAGCTGTTAGCGAGTATAGTTCAAATTGCATAAAGTAATAAATAACAATGAGTCGATGAGAAAAACGTAGTTTTTAATCATAACGATTTTTGTACAAGGATTCAGTAGAGCGCGTGTGCCTGTTACCTTGAATATTTTAATTATCTTATTGTTTTAACTACAGTACGCTTTATAATGTCTCTATGTAGGTACACTACTGAACTTACAATAATATTTGTAAAGATTTCGTACTCTTAGATTTTAATACCACCTGGCTCTCGCTTTTTTGTTTTCGGAAAAAATTATAAATGCTCTGTAGTGTAAAAACATTTTATAAAATAACTACAATATAGTACATACTTCGGAAAAAAATCTTAATTTATTAACAATTTTTAAGTAAAACCAAATAGGCAATTACTTATGAAATTTAATAATTTTTTTCTTTGTTTGTATCTAAATAAATAAATTAAAGTTTATCTGAACAAAATTTTAAAAACAATGAGATACGCGATTTAGACAAAGAAAATCAATTGTTGACTTCATAGCGCTTACGTAACAGGCTTTTATTTTACGCTTGCGCTGAAATAATTAGTCTTTTTTAACAAAGACCTAACTTAGTACTTTTAATGAACATAATGTGTGCATGCCTGTGCACAGCGCCCACTCTAAAATTGATTATAGAAGTGGGTTTTTGAAGTGTTTCCAGGCTAATAGTGATGACAACACTGTTTGTTCAAGGAAAAGGCATTATGATAAAACATTATCAAGATAGACCGTTTTATAACAATAAACAATGACGCTACCTACTGCTTGTTTTATAACCAAATGTAGCTTTAGTGAGAGGATACATTGGGTAGGAAGCCTTTGTTACAATTTTCCTGCTGAGAGGCAGATCATTGTTAGTTCTCTAATTTTTAGTCAAATTTTGCCCTAGTGTTAGATTACTGACACCAGAATATTTTGTTGGTAAATAAGTTTAGCGTTCAGAGCTGATTTAAATTTTAAGTAACCTTAGAGCAATATAGATTTGGCGTCTACACATATTATATGTACGTGTAGTGTGTTAAGCAATTTAATAAAATCATCTGTCCCTGGTAGGTTGACAATTTTCGTCTAGCTCTCTAAGAACTGGCGCCTGCAGGCCTCAGCCAATTTAGACTATCCAGTTGTACTAAAATATATTATACGTCTTGGGAGTACCAACTAGCAATACAGTAGTTCAATAAAATAATGTGTCTAAAGTGTGGTCTGCCAATATTAATAAAATAGGGTGGTTGACGGTCTCACTGTATGCTGGTATTAACACTTATGAAACTAAGATATAATAATCTCCGTACAGAGTACTAAAGAAACCGACCTCACAACTCATTCATCCCTTAGTTTGCCACCCTTAGAGGTGCAATATTTTCTTCAAATTTAAAAGAGACTACTACAAACATGCAGTCTATTTGTTAGGAGTCTTAGGAAACTGTTAGGCATCTGTGAAAGGTATGCTGTTGCTCGGGGACTTGTTTATAAAAGTCAGATCCCGGTTTTTGGGTTTCGGTTAAGAATATGAAACCACCACTTCTAGGAGTTTCAGGTACCTCTGAAACCATGTGAATAGGCTACAATCCATATCTGACCTCAGTGATGATGGCGACTTGGAAAGGGAGTGGAGAGCTTTATCTTTTTTTTTATAATATCACAAAGATCTGAGGGGCACTGCCACTGCGCCCGTCACCCCGGACATAAGTTACCAAGTCCCATGTGCCTGTAATTTCACCAGCACCTAAAGGTGATCTACGTTCCGGTTTTTAAGGGTAAACCCTTAACAACCGAATTATCATCAATCATCAGTAATGGTGACATTACTGCTTGGCGGCAGAAATTGGTGAGGTGGCAGTACTACCCTGGACGAACTCTTTTATGTACAAGCGAACGTGATGGATCGTAGGTTCGCCAGGTGCACGCGTGAAATGTAATGTTAATAGTGTAGTTAGTAGTGGGCTAATCACAGCCTCCGCGATGAACGATTTAAGAAGCCCTCCTCGTCTAGTATAATAACGCGTTCAGGATGGTGCTGGGGCTATCCGGCGGCGCCCAGGAGATATTCCGCAAGGCAAGTGTGGAAGGCTACATGCCGTCACGCGCAAGCGCGCCGCCTCCATGGTGAGCAGGGTGCTGACCAGTTCCTAATATTATCCTGAATATGATTGCTAACCTCTTGCGAACAGCTTGAACTGCGCCTACTCATGCGTGTGCACAACATATAAATCAATTATTTTAAATCTAACTCCTAGTTCATAAGAAATTTACTAACACACATATGAGTCACGTAAAAGTTACTAGAAATGAAGTTTAATAATAATAATAATAATTATATAGATTTTGTTAAGGAAAAGTGGGTGCATAACGGAATTTCCCTCTGCGTCATTACTCAATACTGATTTGACAAAAAAATTTATAATTATATAAGTCACGCATGCATAAGACGTACTTATATTCTTATATTTTTTACATAACTTTACATCATTAATTGTTTAATTTGATTAATGTACGCTTGCTTTATACGCCACGTGTAGTCATATGGGCTGTAGCCATATCAGATCGATTTGAACTTATAGATATACAAATTATTTTTTACTACAATTAATCGTAGGAAAAATAATTAATAATGTTAACACAAACATGACAATATTCGAGTGTTCTATAACTAAATAATTGATATCTCATGCTACCATTCACGGAATTATTTTTTAAATGTCTACCAAATTAATTAATAATTATTGGAAAAAAAACTATTTTTTCGGCTCTAGTTAATAAATTAGTTTTTTTTTTTAATAAACCAACGTTACGACCCCAACAGCAGATCCCGTGGTCTCGACTAACTGAAATGGCAAAATCATCAATCACTTATGTCTATACCTAATGCAAAGTACTACATAACATGGAGTCTGTAAAGTGCCCGAAACGTTGCTTTGTTTAAACAAAACAAATGTCCGCAAATTAGATCCGAAAAAATAGTTTCATTTCCAAAGAGTAGAAATCGAATCATTAATTAATTGAACAAAATTGAAACATGTCAAGTAGTGTGCCCTGGAACCGATGTACCAATTTTAATAGGTTTTGTGCCAATTGCAGCGGAGACTGCGGGGACTTGGGTTGCGAAGGCCAAAGAACTCATCAGGGAGTTGGGTCGTCGGCTTAAGTCTGGCGAAGTACATTATTAATTTTTAAGTGACGAAGCCTGTTGCTGATTGACGTAATTATGTTATTAATTAATTTTTTCAAATGAATTCAACAAAATAAAACAAGTTAACATTATAATATTATGTAAAAGGAGTGCTCTTCAACCATTTTGAAGCTCAACTTAAGCCTATTACTGTAGATAACAAAAGAATGAGTTTTGAACGGGAAATTAACATGAGTAATATTGAACACAGACGACTCTTAGAAACCTTATCGTTAATCCTCATATTGGTTCTTTACAGCAAAAGTAAAGACTCTGTCCCCTTAATCAGCAAGAAATGAACGTGAACCGAACCGATACAGCTATAGAAAGAGCATTACAAAACGATAGCTACATTTTATTATTGTTCAAGCATAGTGAATCAGCCGGTTACACTACCGTGGTTCACTCACTCAGTCTCTCAGTCGTACAGCCAACACCGAAACACTCGAGCGTGTGTCGGCAAACTCTGTTCATTCGTTAAACTTTCTCTTTCGCGTCTGTCGTAAATAAAAATTGTTTACACTAAAATTAAACTCATAATAATCAAGTTTGTCATTCAAAATCGACCACTACAATTTATATTTAAAAATATATGCGTGAATTAGTGGATTACCACGAAAGTGACTGTGCTCAATGGAAAATAATAACAATGCGAAATCTGTGATTGTATTTTAAAGGCACCTTTTGGTGTGTTAAATTGAATTACTTTGATGTAAAGAGATTAACAAACGTTTTCGCGACATGGGAAAAGATTACGGTAAGTTTAAAGCGCCGATTTGTTTAACTATTGTATAACTACTCAAACCCAGCGGTGGCTACACGTATTTCTGAGAATATAAAAAGTAATGACTTACCCAATTGAAAATATAATAAGCTTTATTAGGCATTTCGTAAATGCTTACCATCGAGACTCAAATTTTAGAACCAACTCTTTTAAGGATTGTGTAATTGTAATTATTTTAGATCACCACACGAATAATTTACGGATTGATTGCATAAAGATGAATAGATGTGTAGTACAATTAGTTGTCTCGAAGTCTTTGTTTGTGTTATAATAATCTAAGATAGATATGTTATGCTAGTTTTTCTCTGTATTCTAATAACAAACGGGATCTAAGTACCTAAGTAAGGAGGTATAAATATTTTTACACACTTCGTACTAAGTACAGTCAGCTTAAAAGTCGCTGATCAACCATATTTTTTTAGAAAAGACATACAAGAAAAGGTTATAATAAAATACGAACAATATACAATAAGTTATTTAATAAACAATTTATTATTTATTATACATATTCATTCATGGTTTTCATTACAATATATCTTAAAAACAACTGTACACCTCTACAAACTTACTAGTTTTCGTTACGTCTATTTTAACTTTTGCTATGTAGGTAAAATGATAAGGTGTTAAATGTAAATAATGTAGATTTAGGTTTATTTAGACTAGGTAATTAAAAAGATATCTAAAGCAAACCAACAAATAGAGAAGAAATTCGGTGCACTGCCGTCCTTATCAAAAACAATGTAATCTACATTTTTAGCTAAATTGAGTTATTAACATGTCTGGAATCAGCGAAACGGGATCTAACACCTCTTGGAAGCGATTTTTTGAAATCATATTTAGTTTCAATTTTATTCTTGAGCAAAATCAGTGTAATGGACATTTTTTAAAGAAAAAAAAACTTTAGGCAGCAATACCTCGAAATTTACCAAAATGAAAATACATTGTTTATGACTAGGAGGGCAGTGCAGCTAAAACGGAGTAAGTAGTACATTCAAGACAAAGGTGGTTTGTATTCTACCTACATACTATTCTACAATAAAAGCTTAATTGGACACACAGAACCGTCCGATAATGTACTAAAAGTAGAATAGATCTTCATTATTGGTCTGACTGTATGCACGCATACTCAACCAGATTCTTACATTAACATAATTAAGCCTATAATTCAGCCATTCATTATGTTATTATTCCTCTAAAACATATATCTACGCGTTTTTTTTCTGTTGACGACCTTGCTCTTTTTGAGTGGTAAAACAGAGGCAACGCAACTTCCCGGTACATGAGTAACCTTGCCATCAGCTTTAGCAAGTTGCAAAATTCACAAGCGATAACAAAATTTGGCGAACAATGCTAAAAAACCAAAAATTCTGACACTACACGTATAAGAATATCGTATAGCACGTGCTTACCATTAGCTAAGTGTACATTTGAATCAATAAACATGATTAAGTGAATGAGTTCTTAACGCGAGGACTTTTAGAACTTATTCAAAGTAAAAGATGAGTCATTTGATAACCAAGTCGACGTCGAGATCCATTGCAGACAACTGCAACATGAAAACGTTCTTTCGCATAAAAATCTGCACAGTGTACTTATACCCTGTGTCTCGCCGCACTCCTCTGCGCGTTGTCAGTGTGTGGTGCTTGTTTTGTATGTAAACTGAGATACTTCGGTACAACGTTTACAAACGCAGCTCCGCACACCGCTGCGTGCCTAACAGTTATAAAACGTATATTTTATTATCTTGTACTTATAGCTCGTTTTAGCATTTAATAATATCGAATAGGCCATCAATGCTAAATGTTATTACTTAATAGCATTACACTAAATTTCACGAGACGTTACGGGCAGGAATCTAACTTCTTACCAATAATTAGTGAAATTCAAAGTTTGAAATTATATTTTTATTTTTTATAATATCAACAGACAGGACGAACAAATCGTGCTCCTGGTAGTAAGTGACACACCTATAAATCGCAAAGATCCGAGGGGTACTGCCAGAGCGTCCGTCACTCTGGAACATAAATTGACAATCCCATGTGCCTATAATTTAACCAGCACCCTTACCCTTCAAGACTGGAACGCAGTAATGCACACATTATTGCTTGGCGGCAGAAATTGGTAAGGTGGCAGTACTTCTTCGGACGAACACTTTCACAAGGAGCTCTTCTACTACAAAAACATATTTAACACATGTTTCACGAAACTAAATCGTTAACTATTTTGAAAAATGAGAGTTAAAGAGCATTATTTATACACTGTTATTAAAATATGCATTTATCTAAGTATTTAGGTATACAGGCTTATTTGTAAAATGCTAACAATCTCGCAGGACTATATTACTAACATCACAAACAACTACTTTTGTTCCAAGACTTTTTACAAAACATAATAAATTTAGTAAAAATAAACTTTTAAGTTTTTGTTGTACTATCTGCCAATTTTATTGTATTTGGTACAATGATTGGTAGTAAGTTGTTTAGCAACGCCTCCAGCGTGCTGTCATTCAAGTAATAATTTTGGTGGTGCGTGCTTTTTTTTTGTTACCGCACAGAATTATCACTGTTTAGAGCGGTCTATTTAAATATTCTCGTTTTTGGACAAAAATAAAATGTGACGATTTTTATTAAAAGTATGGTACAAAAGTTGTTGTTTATGATATATCTTAGTAATATAGTTGTTAGTTGTTTCCACTTAACATCAGGTGGAGTGGAGTCATTTGCCTGTCATGTATATAAAAAAAAAGTATTTTACAAAGAACCATGTACATATAGTTTGGGGATTCGCTCTGGACCTTTTGGAGGGAAAAGTGTCGTTTTTATTTTGACTTTCAATTATTTTGTGAAATCTAGTTTAAAGTGGAATAGGATAGTGCTATTGTGCCTTAATCGAAGATTAAAACGCGAAATTATACGAATCTCGAAATAAAATACCCGTATCGGCCCGTTTTAAGGAATCCCGAGTCAATCCAAGCACGCCGCCTCAAATTGCCTATCCTCTTTGTGGCAGCCATATTTACAGAAACATATTTAAACTTCATGTTTAGGCTGATGGCTTTGCCAAAGCCTTAATAAATTTAAAAAAAACATATAGTTTGTAATATTTAATATTATTGATTATTGTTTTTGTATTACAAAATTTTTGTTTTGTTGTGTACGTAAACTCAAGTGTTCTATTTAGGTTATTTAGGTCTACAGGAAGAAATTTGTTTTAGAAATATGCAGTACCTTTTGTTTGAGTTTTCGTTCTGTTAAATGAGATTTGTATTTTTCCCATCAAATAAATTATTAAATAAATAATGTTTTCTAATATTTCATTATTACGTTATTTTTTGTAATTTATTATATGAGATAATACTCAGTAAGGATAAATGTACAATACACGCAGTAAAAAGACATTACAACTTGAATGGACACGGTGTTAATAGCTGATTAAAAGACTTACACCATTAAGCTATAAGTGCCTATAACTATCATCTAGTATGTCCATTTCGCTACTCCATAATCCTCTAAAGAATTGTAATGATGGTAGGTAATTCGTAATTTAACATGTTCCGAAGTATATAGAATCCGATATGATAAGCCATCAAAACAAAGGCACGTAAGTTTATAAGCATATTCACGTAAAACGGTTGCGTTCAATAACAATCATGTTAGTGTAATGCTTGTTCAGAATCTGATATACTTTAAAATAAAAAATTGAGAGAATCACCAACAACACCCAATGGTTTTGGATATCCCCAAACATTATCAGTACCTAACCTAACTGCATTATATGTTTTATGACTCAGTTAAAACCTAATATCTGCCTTTGTTTTAATAATGAACGAATAAAAGAATACAAGAAAGTATTAAATGATATTTTTACTTGACTAAAATATGGTTTAATATACTATATGGTATATGGACTAATAAATATTAGTCTTGTAAAACAAACGTTATTCTGACACACATCAAAATTACTATCTTAGTACCCACCAAAATAGGCGTCTTGTCGTCGAGTTGCGGATACCAGCCCGTTGCACCAAGTACCAAGTACCCACCAAAAACTAAAACTAAGTAGCGGACCTGAGGAGACCCAAGCGGGCACGGATCTCGGCTCAAGGCGCTACTGGGCAACTTCCGCCAAAAGGGCGTGCTGTAGGAGAGAATATCTAGTAGAGTTAGTATGTGCTGAAATGAGGGGCTTTACGATCTCGCCGGCAAGGATGGTTTTTATGTGTGGAGTGAGACTGGTTAGCGATGTGGTTGGCCTTCAAAGTGGCGAGAGTGATAAGGACGTCGAGGACTTCCGTCGGCATCCGGGCATCCGTCACTTTGCTCATGGATCTATTTTGGAGGGCCTACAGGCGATGGATGATGGCGGGATTCGCCTGTGCGAAAACGACGCTAGCGTACGTCATAATTGGGCAGATGCAGGTCGTGTGCAATCCCACCTTGTTACGAAGGGAGAGCTTACTATACTAGTTAGGGAGGGGATGGAGGCAGCTCATTACAAAGTGGGCGCGATCGCGGTCGGTTTTCACCTGTGCTTTGAATGACAGCTTCCTATCGAGCGTAATTCCTAAGTATTTGATCATGTTCTCCCAAGGGATTGGGCGGCCGAAAAGAGTTATCGGGGTGAGATTTTGTCGCCTACGGCTGAACTGGTTACTTCACGTGAAGAATACCGCCGCGCTTTTGTCGAGTTTTACTTCGATTCTCCATCTGCGAAACCACTCGCCTAGGCGTGTGGTGGCATATTGGAGGGCCGAGAAAACTAACTTCGAGCTGCGCGCCAAATAGCAGTGCGCAGTGTCGTCAGCAAAAAAGGCGAGATTTACAGACTGATACTTTAGAATGTCGCTAGTGTACAGGGGGAATAGGAGGGGCGATAGGACAGAGCCTTACGGGACTCCGGCTCTTATGGAATGAGGGGAGTAGAGTGCGCCTTCGAGTCAATAGAGGAACGAGCAATTCGACAAGAAGTGTCGA